GCCTAAGATAATTAAGAGTTGGAATAAGTTGAGGGTTTGCATAACTTTCACGTATGTTCTAAACACCTCTTGTGTTAAAACAAGGCTTCGTCGGGTGCAAAGCAGTTTCTAATCAGTATGCAAATTGTGAGATATTCAGATCTCTAGTATTGTTTTTTCAATTTTTCGCTTGTTTCTCTTTGCAGGTTTTGTTGTGTTGTCAAATTTGGGCTTCCTTCTTTCTCTCATTCTAAGCTTACCAATTCATTTGAAGATAATACGCGATTCGATTTTATCAATTGCAAAGGGACTTGTGTAAGTAGATTGATAATGTGAATAGGTTGTCATATATGTTGTTTACATTTTCCCTCAGGTATTTAAATCGTTTTTGTTTGTTTAGCTGTTTGCTGTTTTTTTTTCCAGACCATCGATAGTGCTGGCTGTCATATTAGGAGTGTTCCAGCGCATGTTCCTATCTCGATATGTCTTTCGTGACAGAGAATACCCAAATTTCTCAGTCGTGATTGACAACAGGTAACTTAAAAAAAAACAGTTTCTGTTTCTAATAACGTGATAAGCTGAGCTGCGCACGTACTTTGACTGGTTCTTGACACATAGATGACGTCATGATAAACACATTTTCGTTGCTTTATCATTGATTGTTAACGTGGCTGTGTTCAGTTATAGATCACAAAAGACGTCAATTTATGGTAAGAAAATCGCTGAACCACTCGGCAATTTTATCGAGCGAGTGCTCAGTATTTTCTTGGCCGCCAACTTTTTTTTTTAATAGCAGCAGAAGGCTGGGGAGAGAAAGAAATTTGTACTAAGGGGGCGGTCGACGGTCAAAAATAAGGAGTGACGTTCACTCTAGCTCCAAATCAAAATGGCCGGTCGGATGAACGATCGCGAGCTTATAACGTTAGCTCGCCTTAATGAGACGCCTGCACTGCAAAGTCAGCTGTGAGCTACTGACCAGAAGCGAGTTAACATGGCGTCTATGTGTTAGTTAGAGATTACATTGGCGTTTAGGGTGGGTGTGCCATTCTGAGTCTTACTCCTCTTCACCTCCTTCACGTTAAATGAATCAATTTATGTCACAAAAGCTTGCATTCTTGCACTATGTAACATTAGCTGTGTATGCGAATTTTCCAACACAATTTGTCCAAGATAGTGGCTTTGACGCTTTATAGAGAATATGGCTGTTCGTCTCATCTGCCATCTGCAACTAAAGAAAATGCTGCTAGTCTTGCCAAAGGCACGAGATGTTGGCGCAAAAATTTGTTTGTGCGGAGTTTCTCATAATGTGCTACCAATAAGAATGCTGCAGCTCTATAGAAAATCACCTGAATAATTTACCTCTCCTCTTCTCTGAAGAAGGTCATTCTGCTTTTAAGAGAATTATCGGGAATCAGCACATGGGGCTGCCTCCAGGTTCCTTGACGGTCTTGGCCTTTATCGAGCAACATTTACTTGAAAACTTTCGAAACGACAGATCGTAGGTAGAAAACATTTTTTTACGCCAAACAGCTAATTTTTCCGCCACGTAACCGCTAATGGTTAACCCCACTTAGACGCTCTTCTTTATGTTTACCTTCTCGAAAATAGGCCACGTTTTCTACTCAACATTGTTCCTCTTACTATAAACAGCTATTAGTTATTTCTGTTTCACTTTTTTCTATTTTGTTCTCGTTTTGGAATCATTTTTTAGACGACTGTTCTCTATCATGTCGTATGCGTTTGTGTTCCTCAACGCCATTGTTGGATTCCTGTCAGGTCTTCTTCGCATAGCTAAAGCTATGATTCTCGGACTTTTCTTCTTCTCGCGTCTCGACCGAACTGTTTTAATGCCAGGATTTCAGAGCTGGGACAAAGGTAAGCTCTCCGAAAAAACGCATGCTTAAAAATTCCTCCGTGTTCAAGTTTTCTGACCTATCATCTGCCATTCAGTGCTTGCCAAACGGCTGTATCTCTGCCGAAAGTTGAAACATTGGGTAACTGCTTGTTGCTTCTCAGACTTTGTTTCTTGCTGCGTTTGATTTTCTCAAATTACCAAAGCATTTGAATAAAAATGGAACATGGCACAAGGGACTGTTAATAATTTTTGGCCTAGGGGAAGGGGATCGGAGGATTTTGGTTGTGTCACAATAAAAGCTACCCGACCCCCAATAAGACTCCGTAGTATTCTAATGAATCCCCCCCTTAATCCTCATTGGCAGCCAATTTGCTATAGTTCCCCCCTTTCAACTCTGTAAGAGATGACTGATTCCCCTTCCTCCCCCACTGAAAGCCATGCGATCACTTGCAAAATCCTCTTTCCCCTTCTCCACCCCAGTAATAAATTATGATTGGTAAAGATACTTCAGCCATGCTTCAACTAAAAGGACCTCAACGGCAACGCAGACTTCAGTTGAATCCCCATCTAACGCCCATTTTCCCCTTCAACTTAACGAACAGGTTTTGTTGCGTATCTTGGATTTCTTCATGTGTTGGTAGCCCACAGACATCCTGTTGTGTTAATGTTCTGCCAATTGCTCATTGAAAGCAACAAGGCGACAGCTTCGGAGGAGAAACGTAAGCAACTTTTAAGAAATTAAATTCTTCTGATCTCAGAAGAACACATTGAGAGTATCAACTCGAGAAGGATTGGTTAATCAGACAATCAGTCGCTCGGTCAGTAACCAAGTGAATCAATTCGTCAGTCAATCAGGCAGTCAGTCAGTCAGTCCGTCCGTCACTCAGTCAGTCAGTCCGTCAGTCAATAAGCAATAAGTAAATGTGTCAGCGTGTCAGTTATTCAGTATGCCTCTCTGTTTGTCCGTCTATCTGTTATTCCGATATTTTTCTCACCCGAACTGTCTTTTATACCAATTATTCGCCGAAGGCGAAGTGAATATTGTTGAATAATTTCCGTATCAATGTTCACTGAACCTGAGGCGAATAACATTTAGTACAGTTGCTCAGGTGCTTTCGAATAACTTTGCAAATTATTTAAACAAAGAAAGCATTTCGCATATTTTGTTACAACTGTGTTGATTACTCGTATCTACGTACATAAGAAAGAAAATTTAACAGTGTCATTTAATGCCATTGAAAGCCGTATTCCACCAAACTCAGTATGATAGCATCTTTTGTGCTTTTTTCAATTGAAATATTTTTTCCTATCACATTTATCACTTCCTTGGAAACGAAGTGATTAAGGCGAGATATGACGCAATCCTCGACCAATCAGATTCCGCGCACCTCTACAACTAAATATAGCTGTGTTTACCAAACTGACTTAAAAATCTGTCCGTCACAGGGCATTCCAGCATTTCTGTGCAACCAAACAACGCTGAGGAGCCAAAGCAAGTCACAGGTATGTCACTTAATTAATGTATCGTAGCCTTACCGGACAGTGCATGAGTTCCGTTTTTAAGGGAGT